GGTGGCTACTGGTGGGTCCTTCGGAGCGAGGCGTCGCGGGGATCTGAGCGGGACCTCGCCGTCCCTGGGGGGCTGCGATCTGCGAAACTGTCGCCGCTTTCGAGGGCTGCCGGCGGGCCCTGCGGGGTGAAGCACCGCGGGGATCTGAGCGGGACCTCGCCGCCCCTGGGGGGCTGCGAGCTGCGACGCTATCGCCACTTTCGAAAGCTTCCGGCGGGCCCTGCGGAGGGAGGCACCGCGGGGAACTGCGCGAGACCTCGCCGTCCCTGGGGGTCTGCGATCTGCGACGCTGTCGCCGCATTCGAAGGCTGCTGGCGGGTCCTGCGGAGCGAGGCACCGCGGGTATCCGAGCGAGACCCCGCCGTCCCTGAGGGGCTGCGATATGCGACGTTGTCGCTGCTGTCGAAGGCTGCTGGTGGGTCCTGCGGAGTGAAGCGCCTCGGGGATCCGAGCGAGACCTCGCTGTCTCTAGGGGGCTGCCATCTGCGACGCTGTCGTCACTTTCGAGGGCTGCTGGCGGGCCCTGCGGAGCGAGGCACCGCGAGGCACTGCGGAGCGGACCTCGCCGTCCCTGGGGGGCTGCAGCCTGCGACGCTGCCGCCACTTTCGAACGCCGCTGGCGGGTCATGCGGAAAAAAACACCGCGGGGATCTGAGCGAGACCTCGCCGTCTCTGGGGGGCTGCGATCTGCGACGCTGTCGCCACTTTCGAAGGCTGCTGTTGGGCCCTGCGGAGCGAGGCACCGCGGGGATCTAAGCGAGACCTCGCCGTCCTTGGGGGGCTGCGATCTGCGACGCTGTCGCCACTTTCGAAGGCTTCTGGCGGGTCCTGCGGAGTGAGGCACCGCGGGGATCTGAGCGGGACCTCGCCGTCCCTGGGGGGCTGCGACGCTGTCGCTACTTTCGAGGGCTTCTGTTGGGTCCTGCGGAGTGAGGCACCGCTGGGATCTGAGCGACCCCTCGCCGTCCCTGGGGGGCTGCGATCTGCGACGCTGTCGCCGCTTTCGAGGGCTGCTGGTGGGTCCTGCGGAGTGTGGAACCGCGGTGGTCTGAGCGAGACCTCGCCGTCCCTGGGGGGGCTCTGGAGAGCTGCTGCGGGGCGCGTTAGGCGCAGCGGGCGCATGGCAGGGCCAACGGGGGTGATTTGTGAAATAGACCATCTGCTGGGGGATGGCCATAACGTTGCGCCTGCACGTATCCCGGCCCTTAGATCTTGATCGGGGGCCTGCGCGCCTTCCGATTGCTGCTCGCAAAATCACATGCGTCCATGTTACGTCATCGCCCCCGTTGTAGCAATCCTGATCTACTCATGCCCCGCATTGCGCAAGGGTTGGGTCCGTCGCCAGGGTATTGTATATGAGTGGTATTGGTGGTAGTAGTAGTACTAGTAGTAGTAGTAGTAGTAGTAGTAGTAGTAGTAGTAGTAGTAGTAGTAGTAGTAGTAGTAGTAGTAGTAGTAGTAGTAGTAGTAGTAGTAGTAGTAGTAGAGTTAGTAGTGGTAGTATAGTAGTAGTATAGTAGTAGTAGTCATAATAGTCGTAGTAGTCGGAGTCGGAGTCGTAGTAGTAGTAGTAGTAGTAGTAGTAGTAGTAGTAGTAGTAGTAGTAGTAGTAGTAAGTAGTAGTAGTAGTAGTAGTAGTAGTAGTAGTAGTAGTAGTAATAGTAGTAGTACTAATAGTAGTAAGAGTAGCAGTAGTACTAGTAGTGCTAGTAGTGGTAGCCTTCGTAATAGTAGTAGTAGTAGTAGTAGAAGTAGTAATAGTAGTAGTAGTAGTAGTAGTAGTAGTAGTAGTAGTAGCAGTAGTAGTAGTAGTAGTAGTAGTAGTGGTAGTAGTAGTAGTAGTATTATTAGTAGTAGTAGTAGTAGTAATAAAAATAATAATAATAGTAGTAGTAGTAGTAATAGTCGTCGTCGTAGTAGTAGTAGTAGTCGTAGTAGTAGTAGTAGTAGTACTACTACTAGTAGTAGTAGCAGTAGTAGCAGTGATAATATGAATACTAATCGTAATGGTCGTAGAGGCCACTTCGGTCATCTTGGAGCGATATTCGAGCGTCTGTTGTGTGGCCTGGCAGGCATGGTTGGTCTGGTTGGTTGGCGTGGCTGTTTCGTGCGTCTTGGAAGGGTATTTGCGCGTCTTTGGCTGGACTGGCTGGTCCATCTGGTCTAGTTGATATGGTTGATTGGCCTAGCTACCTCGCGCGCGTTAGAATGATCCTTGAGCCTCTTGAGCGTTTTTTGGCTGGCCTGGCAGGTCTGGTTGGTTTGATTGGTTGCCCTGGCTGGCTCGCCCGGTTCGATAAGTACGCGGGGGCAGCTCCTGGAACTCGGTTAAAGGTCCTCTCAGGGAACCCCCCTGTTGTTTCGGGGCACCTTCGGGCCGTTCGGAGGGCATCTGGAGGCTTGGGAGGGCCGCCCATCGAGAGCGAAAATGCGAGCTCATCTGAACCTGTAGCTTCCCATGTAATAGGGTGGGTACACCGTATTGAATTGAATGATTAAGACGTCGCGTCGGGTTTGGGGCTGCCTTTTGGGGGCATCTTGGAAGCCTTCTGGAGCTGCCATGGGGCCTCGGGGGGCTTGCGCAGGCTCTCTCGGGGCGCTGCTCGCCCGTCTGACGTCTTCGGAAGCCGTCAGGGTGGGCCCTTTCGAGATCGCATGGGTCGTTTTGGGGAACCGTCTTGGGCTCCTGTTGGGCTCTCCAGCAGCCTCAGAGGCGGCCGCCTGCTTGGGGCCTCTCGGGGGCCTCGCAGGGGAGAGCGGCAGTTGCAAGCAGCACCCTCGGCACCGAGCCCACCCGCTGCGGGGCCGCGGGCGCGAACTCGGTTCCGCTGTGAGCGGGTCCTCGGGCAACGGGACGCTGATGTGGCGTGTTCGGTGGATCAGCCTCCCCGTCCTCCTCGTCGGTCTCCTCGCTGTGCCCCCCAGACGTGGCCCCGGTATTTCGGGTTCGTCAGCGCCTCCGCTTTCGTCGGTAATGCCGCTTAACTCGACGCTGTACGACCCTGGCCCTGGCGGAGATTGTCCAAACATCTGCGCAAACTTTCCTGGGCTTCCTGCCCCCCCCCCTGCCCCCTTTGACCCGGAGTAGCCTAATTGGCGTTCTTGGGGCAGCGCGCTGCAATGCAACCCTTTTCGCCGCATGTGTAGCACTCCCTCCCCTGTATCTCCCCCTGCCTGCACCCTTCGGTAACCCTTGAATCCTTTGTACTATATTTTTGTCTGCCTCCTTTTCCTGTGCCGGCTCCTTTGGTGGTACATGTGCACCACCTGGGCCCTTTGCCCTTACCCTTTCCGGTACTTAACTTCGTTTGTGTTGCCGTTTTCGGCCACATCTTCCTCGCCCCAGGGTCACTGGCTACCTACCTCGCCGTAAAATCCTGCATCGTCCTCATTGGCTGCAGACTTCCCACTGCTGTCATCGCTAACACCTGGCCAATGTTCATTGCATCGGTGTTCTTCGTGCTCGCGTCCAGCCTTTTCTTTGCTCAATCCTCGAAGTTAACAAACATCTTTTCGCGCCCGTCGATGTTCGACGGCATTGTTTTGAAGCAACCCTTTCTGCCATGTATCAAGCAAATCGCCTACGTGGGCCATAACGATTCTCCAGGCTGCAATCCTGAATGGCAGCGGTAAAAACTAGGCAGACCCATGTTTCCCAGTGACTCTACTAACGCGCTCCAATGAATATTCTCTTCAAGTGCAAATACTCGTCAAGTGCAAATTCTCTTCAAGTTGCAAAGCCACCATATGAATATTCTTCGGTGTTTCGGATTTCATGGCCGAATTCATCTCGTTAAAACAGGGACCCCGGCAACCGTAGAGTACAACGTGTATATGTTGTGCAAGCCCATCATACCATCTCCCGCCTGCAAGCCCTGAGGTTACCCTCGGGACCCCGTTCCCTGTAGTTTGTCGTTTGACACATACATACTGGAGGTTCTCGTCCAACTTGGAATAATCGTCTTCCTGCAGCACACATCCCCCTTTTGGTCATGTTCCCTTGCTTTGATGCCCCACGTTTTGGTGCATTCGCTTCGTGTGAACCTTCCACCACGATCTTGGTCGGATTGTGCTCTTCGTAAAAAAAGTGCTCCGTCCATGGTTTCGAGTTTGTTGCTGAAGCTCTGGCGGGCTTTCCGGCACTCGTGCTTCACTTGGGCGAATGCATTCAATGGATTTTCGCCCCATTATCTGAATTGAATCGTTTCACCTGAAAACGCCTTCAACACTTGGGAAATCTTATTTTTACTTACGGGCTTGTCTCAACCTCCGCCAAATCTGGCGTTTCCTGCGGACTAGGTTACCTCAACGACCTTGGTAACACGCACCGAGGTGTTCGGGTGATGTCGGAATTGTGCTGTCCTAACATACGCCCTTGAATTATTGAACTGTTCCTCGCAATACATGATGCGACTGATAGCTGCGATCGGGAGAGCATCCACCCTATAGCTCATCCACAACATTGTGATTGCTTCGTCGTTGTCAACGTCCCGGTGCCCTGCGTGGCACTGCGATCAGGGAATACTTGCATGCCTTCGTGATTGGCGCCGTGTTTACATACCTGAAGCCCCCGTTCTCGTAACCTGCGTTGCACAGCTCCGCGAACCGGTTCGTGCCCAGGTTGTAACAGGCTTCTCGTGTCTCAAGTAACGACACACCATAACCCAGATCGTTCGTTCCGGTTCGCGGGGGCTGCTGCAGCTGCCGCCGCCGCCGCCATCTCTGCGCTGGAACCCGTGGGGCGCACCACGGGCTCCGCTACCATGAAAATCTGGCAGGAACTCTCCACGAGAAGGCAACTGCACTTGAGCCAAACCGTTGCGGAACTAGACCCAGGCAGCGATTACTAAAATGTTTCCCCCCCTTGTCGTGACACAGCTGCGCACCCAGTCGGAACGCTACAATCTAACACCTCCTCCTTCTTCCCCTCCTTCTCCTCCTCCGTCTCTACATCCACGTGCCCATCGCACCCTCCTCCAGGGCACCCTTTGCAGCCTCGTCTACTCCTCCCGCGCCTGGGCCAATCCAAACACTCTTGTAGGGGGCCACATGCGAACCCTACCTCCCCCTCCGCCTCAGGAATCGTGGGGGGTAGGGGTAGGGTTCGCATGTGGCCCCCTATCTTGTGCACCAGGTCCTGGTATCCGTCTGCGAGCTTCTTGAAGCTCTCCATGAAGTGATCATCCTTCGCCCCAGGTGCCGCTGGGTGACCGCCAGAGCACGCGCGAAGGCACGAGGAGCAAAGGGGCGCCGCTGCACAAGGTCGGGCAGCCCCACCGTGCTGGCACGGATCGCACCCTGAGATCGGCTGCTGGGCCCTGCAGCAGGGCGGAGCCAAAGCACCAGTGCGAGATCCAACATCGGCCCCCACAGCGACACTCACAGCGTGCTGCTGCCCGAAGATGCTGCTCCTACAGTAGGGGCCCGACCACAATAGAGACATTCCACAAGAAACCCAACCCTGAGACCCCAGGGCGTCTAATGACTTTTGGTGTGAGAACGTCACGCTTTCCATAGCAAAACCAGCGAAACGCAGAAATCCCAGGGCACCCTGGGGGCGAGCAGGGTGCGTCTTGGCATGGGCCCCCACCGTAGTCCAAACAGAAAGAGCAAAACGTCAACGCTCGGAGGCCCGCTCAGGTTTCTTGGGTCGGCGCTGGACACCGCTTCCGCGCGCGCGGGAGCGCGCCAGCTGCGAGGCCGGAGGCGCCACCAGGGGGGGGGGGCAGCAGCGCAGGCCCGTGAACTCCGCGCAGGCCTCCGAATTTGTGTTATGGCTATGCAGATGTATTCGCTGCTCCCTCCTCCTCCTCCTCCTCCTCCTCCTCCTCCTCCTCCTCTTCCTCCTCCTTCCTCCTCCTTCCTCCTCTCCTCCCCTCCTCCTCCTCCCCCTCCTCCTCCCCCTTCTCCCCCTCCTCCCCCTCCTCCTTCCTCCTCCCGCTCCTCTTCCCCCTCCCCCATCCTCCTCCTCCTCCTCCTCCTCCTCCTCCTCCTCCTCCTCCTCCTCCTCCTCCCCTCCTCCTCCTCCTCCTCCTCCTCCTCCTCCTCCTCCTCCTCCTCCTCCTCCTCCTCCTCCTCCTCCTCCTCCTCCTCCTCCTCCTCCTCCTCCTCCTCCTCCTCCCCCCTCCTCCTCCTCCTCCTCCTCCTCCCCTTCCTACTTTGAAGACTTCTTCTTCTTATTATTATGATTATTATTATTATTATTATTCTTCCGCCGGCCTCCTTCCGACCTTCCGCCGCCTGCCAGCGAGGAGGGGATGCCAACTTCTCGATCCACCGAGGGCTAAGCCCTCTTTCTCTGTGGCTCCCATGACAATGGCCACCCTAACAGCTCTGTCATGGGATTTACGATGTGTTCTCCATGTTGCGAAACTGTTCAAAACATGCCCTCCACGTGTTAATATGTTTCGAACATGCTCTACACACTTCAAGCCAACTGGAAATGATTTGACAACATGCCTCCTCTCCATAGATCGTCTTCCACAACCCTCTCTGGAATGCCCTATACATGTGCGTCCGGCTCTCGCCAGTCAGCCCCCATCGAGCGCACGTTAGGGCCTCGCCAGGACGAGCCCAGCGCTGGCTTCGGACACCGCGTGGGTCGTTCCACCTGGAACGATCGGTGGCCTTTCGATCGCTACAGTCGGGACGTTGACCTAAGGAACCCTAAATAAGAAACGAGGCCCCTTTTTCCCATCAGTTAAAGTTCGATTTCCCATCGAAAACCTGAGGAAAACCTTAGGCAAGCTGTGAAACAATCAAGGAACACGGAGCCCCTCCCCAACGAAAAGGGTTCCTTCTTAAGCGCCCCGACTGTAGATCGCTCCATCTTGGCCCATGCGCTCAACCTGGAACTCCCACGCTGGGGTCGTCGCCGCGTCAGCACGACGCGACTCTGCCTCACCCGGCTGCCAGGTGCACCTCTGCCAGCTGCTCCTCTCCCAAAGTCGGCGGCCCGGGAAGCACCCAGAAGCAGCTTCGGGCGCCACGTCTCGAATGCAAACAGCATCAGAACATGTATGTGTTGAACGACCCGTTGACGGATGCAGCGAAACTATGCGTGCATATGCCCCTGCCGCTCCGTCCCTGGTCGGCCCCTCTCTCGTCCCCCCTCTCGGCTCTGACCCCGAGAATTCCAGTGCGCTTGAGCAGAAAGGGTCTGTGCTACCTTCCGTTCCTGGGGAACTCAAAAGATACCAATACCGCTACTCCCCGGACCTTTCCCGGGCTGCGTTCTGCCCAGAAGTTCGAAGCGAATCCAGCGGTGGCGACGAGGGCCTCCCAGGAGGCCTGGAAAAAAAGGAAGCGGGCAAAGGGGAAGGGTATGGGTATCTTTCCCTCCTCTGAGTTCCCCTTCGCTGCCCCGTTCGTGGAGCATTCGACGTCTGCCCCTGGGGCTGGCGCTTCCTCGTGAGCGGTTCGCTGACGCCCCCAGGAGCCCAGGAGCGGCCTCCGGACGCCAACGCTAGACAGGATCTAAAACAGACGGCTGCAAACCAATGTTGGCCAGCGCGGGCCCGAAACAGTGAGCTACTGCACGGCGAAGGACCCAGCCCGGATGGGGTCGCCACCGGAGCAGTGAGGCCTACAAGGAACAGCCCCGCTACAGGGAACCACGGAGGACCGCCTCCCAACGCCCGTTCGAGGACTACCTGCGACGAGCCAGCGATGAGCACCACCGAGGCCGCCGTCGCAGGCAGCCACGGCAGCCCCCGGACACCGCCGCAGTCACGCGGGCCGCATCGCGGTCGCCCGCAGCAGCGGCCGCGGCAGGCGCGGCGGCTGCCGCCGCCGCCGCCGCGGCGGGCCAATCCGCGGCACTCGCTTGGATCCGCCATCAGCCGGGGGCCCCCATCGCGACACTCTGGGGGCAGGCTGGCTGCCCGCGCCGAGCAAGCGCCCCCGCCCCTGCCGATCAGGATCAATCGCCCGCAATCCCAGGGCGGTGTGCGGACGCTCCCACCGATCGCCTCCCCCCGCTCCCCCCTCGCTATCCAGCCGCCTCCCGGCCTCCCCTTGCCCTCCCCCGTATCCTCGGGCTCACAAGGGGACGAACGAACCACGCCCCCCAGCTGCCCCTCAGGGAGAGCCCCTCCCCACAGAAGGCCCCCCGGACTGCCCCGCAGTCCCCCGACTGGTCCCCCGCAGACGACCAGTGGGCCACCGATGGCAGAGGAGAAACCTCAGACTCCGAACCGGGCAGCGTCGGGCTGAACGCCAGAAGACCGCAAGACTGCACCGACGACCGCGCGCGGTGGACGGACGACACCGGGCGCACCAGCACCGACTGGCCGCAAAGCCGCGAGAGCGACGGCCCGGCCAGCGGCCCTCGGGTTGCGGACTACAGATGCACAGGGAGACGGGGCACCTTGGGAGCCCTCCTGTGGCACTACCAGTACATCGAAGGCCCCTGGCGAGAGCTCGCGGACAGGGGTATTGAGCGCCCCCCTGTTCAGAACCACAACCTCGAGATGCTAGTACACCACAGCTGGCATCGGCGCCGCCCCGGCCACCCTGGAGTGCACCCAAACTCCCCTCTGCAGCCGACGCCCCCCCGACCCACGCGACGGGCCACCCGCCCCGGCTCGACTAGCCGCGCCGCAGGTAACCCTGACACTGATGAACCTGCCGGGATTGGTCTGGTCAATCACCGGCGCCGACCACGAGGGCAGACTAGGAGGAATTCGGCCGGACCCGGCGCAGATACTCGCCCTACGATTCGCGTGCGTTACCCATGACCCCCTGATACACGCTAGGAGCCTTGACAGCGACAACGCCAGCCCCATGGAGCTGCAGCTGGCACGCCTCGAATACGAGGCCATGGCAGCGGCTGCGCCCTACTGTGACCTCGGCATGGCCGCCACAGACAGCCTACTGCCAGACGCCTTTCTGGCTCCCACCAGAGCGTGCCTCGACCCAGTCCCCAGGAACATGTCTGGCCCAGACAGGCCCGACGGAACGATTGATCCTATGGGCGACGAGACGCGAGCCAGAGCACACAGCGTAATAGTGCACGAACACAGAAACAACATCGTACACTTTCCGGACCACAGCGACATGAGGGACTGGGCGAACAACAGTGGGATCTTCAGCAGCCGGGGAAACGACGTGCTCTCTCTCGAGCAATGCAGACACCTCCTCGGACCTACTCCCCGGGCAACTCCCGCCCTAGATAACATCGCCCCCCGCGGGCCTGGTATACAGGGAGTGTCCGTGCAAGACGGCGACTCCCCCACTGGCCTACGGCCCTGGAACACGGCCGCGCACCGCCTCCTCTTCGGAGACTTCTTTTGCCCCACCATCCGCTGCAACTTCTGCGGGACCTGGCAGCTCATAGAACCGTGCGGTCGCCGCTCCTGCATCGCTTGCCGTCGGTTGGCCACATCCTGGAGCTTAGTGGACAGCGTGCTCGCAGTAGACACCTATCAGCCGCCAAACAATCCGTTGGACGCCATGGGCCATGGGACAAGACCTCTCGTTCCAGCTGGCCAGGGTCGGAGCCAGATGCGCCCCGATAGCAGAGCACCTGTACACGCCGCGAGCGCCAGGCACAGTGGACCACACTGCATCATGCCTAATCGGTGAGCTGCTCGGCGCGTGGAGGCACATTGCCACATGCCCAGACGTCTGGATCAGCGGCCGTGTCCTCTGCAACCGGGACCTTGGAGAGGAACCCCAGCTCCGCGGGGCGGTGGCGGCGCTAGCCCAGCTATGCGCCGCACCCACGCAGTGGGCAGTCAACGCGTGCAGACGCATACGGGACCTGACCGAGGCAAGTCCGACACACGCTGAGCTTTACAAATGGTTCCCGCCAGTGATCGCCAGGCCCAACATCGGGATGACCCCCGCTCCACTAATCGGCCTATCCAACGGGCAGCGCGCCACCCTACCGGACGGCTCAACAGTCGAGCGGACAGACCTGACGTGGATCGCGACCCAGATCAGGGGTCGCTACTTCGAAAAGGCCTTCCTCGACACGTCATCCCCCGACAGCGAGGGTAGGAGGACCGCCCCCATGGAAGCGGCAGGGGTGATGCGCAGCGCGCTTCAGGCCATGGCAAGGCGCGAGGGTCGCTCCATACACGCACAGACGGGGGCCGACAGCACCGTGGGCAGGTTCGTCGTCGAAGCCGCCACAAGAAGGTTAAGATCCGAGCAAACCACTGGTGCCGAAAGCCCTGGCGC